CCTTATGAGAAAAGACCAGAATGTTTGAGTTTCTTAAGCTTGGAAAGAAGGGTGACTGACATGATCAAGGTGTGTGTGTGTGTGTACATGTCATGAAGGAAGTGGACAGAGAAAACCTTTTCTTTCCTCGTTAAAAATATGACCATAAGATCATCCAATTGGAAGGAGATTTAGAATTGGTAAAGCCCATAATTAACCTGTGGAATTCATTATCACAAAATGCTGTGATGGCCACTAACTTGGATTATTTAGGGCTATTAATCTTGAGACTGAGTTACCACCAGGTTGGAGGGAGCAGGTCTCTGGATACCATTTGCAGGAAACAATGGCAGAAGAGGTCTCTACTTCCTGCTTGCAAGCAACCAAGAAGGAATATATTGGTTACTGTGAGAAACAAAATGCTGGATTAAAATGGTCCCTGGCCTGATCCAGTAGAGTTTATATTTGTATAGGAAATTACTGTGCCTCTAAAACGTATTAGTGCTGAGTAAAATATAATAAATAAATATGTTTCTTTCGATAAGTTGTTTATTTGGATGTATATCCCCATTTCTACCAATGAATGATACTCAAGGCAGCTAGCAATAAAACAAAACACCTAACTAAATTTTGCAAATTCATATTTCATAGAAAGACTTGAACTGGTCTTATTTATATGACTTCTGTTAACATAGCTCATATCTTGTGTAATGTTTACTTCATTAGTACAGCATTTTTTTTGTATAATTAGAGCTACAGTCCAACTTAAATCCTAATCAGGTACATTACTGTGTGGTTTCACTAAGAGCAGCCTGTAAATTTGGTAACAGATTTCAAACTCCTTTGTATATCTTTACTTGATTTAGTTAGTTGGGTGCAATCAAGTTGGGCCCAGTCATTGGCAACTGTAAGAATGCCCACCGTGTTAACCTGTCCCCTAATGAAAACCTGTAGCATTTCTAAAGAGATAACAGTGATCTCTTGATCACACCCATATTTGTTGTGTTCCCTTTCTTCTACTTGCAAAGCATACTTGCTTTTTCTAGTCCATCATTCATTTGCATTACATGCCCCCAAATTAGTTTCTTCATGCTACTCATCACTTCAAGGGATCAGATCTTTATTTAATCCAGGACTGATTGATTGGTTCTTTTAGTAACTATTAATCCATAATTGAAGGCTTCTGGAGTTGCTACTGGAAAAAAAACATTCTTTTGAGAGTTCTGATCTTTGTTTGTCATACAAATACCCTTTCTGTCTAAATTTTCCATTGCTTTCTCCCTAGAATTAATCTCTTTGTTTCTCCAGTACACTGTTCATGTTTAGCTATTTCTGAGCTCTGGAGGGCAACACCTTCACTTCTTTGCCATCGACTACAGAGCTTCTGCAAAAATCTGGTGGGCTGGTAGATGGCAGCAAAGAGATGGAGATAAATTTGGGTAAGAGCTCCTCCCCTAGTATGAATAATAGCACCATGGTGTCAGTTTGCTCCTACCCAAGAAGTAAGAGCTGATGCATCTAAACACTGACTCTTCTCACCTCCAAAATATGTGTTCTGAGAGTAAGTTGTGTGCTTTTTAAAAAAAAATTTAAATTGTTCTTAAGGACTGGTTCCATTTCTTTTAAAGTTAACATCATTAGGTCTGTTTGATTCATTGCAGGGAACTGAACTTCTCATTGTTCTCAGTGTCTGGTTTATCACTGAAATAAAGTGGTGTAGTCCAGGAGTATTTTCAGAAGCATAATATGATGTTCTTACATCACTCTTAACATTTAACTGCCATGCAGTAGCAATTTGCTTTACAAGATCTATAGACTTAAAATATTAGTTTAAAGAGCAGAACAAGAAATATAGTAACTTTGTTTGATGTTATTGCCTATAAAGAAAGGAAATGATGTAATTGGCTTCAATTAACTTCCCTTAAGGTTGACATTTCAACCAGAATGCATAAAGAAATGTGAAGGCATTTAGCAACTACCTGAACTGAATAGCTCTTTGGAAATTACACAGGTTCTCTGCTTCCTTCCAAAGTTCCTTTGTTATTTCTTTTGAATATATTTATGTGCCACTTAGATTGTCATATGGTCTAAATTAATGAGCTGTACAAAGTGATGATAATGAGGAAAGGTTGTATATGTGATAGAGAAAAATGGAATTGTAGATTTGGCAGCCAAGAAATGAACATATGTTAGCTGGTCAACATGTACTGTTCTCTGCAGAGAATTTAGACCTGATATTTTACAGCATGTCTACAGTCTTTAAGCTTCATAAATTTTCACCATGTCTCAAGAACCTTTTGTTGTATTTTTAAAAATATCTTGAAGCTATCTATTATAAAATCTTCTTTATGATTAGGATGTCCAATTTGTTAAATCACCATGAGTTTATTCAGAGGTAATTTCTACCGTATTTGCTTGTTAATGAAGACCTTGGCAAAGCATTACATCATCTTCAGTAAAGTGAGTCATAAGGTCAAATGAGTTGACAGCCCACATGGAAAACAGGATATGAGGATCCTAAGGATAAGTCTTATCTCAGCTTGAGGATGTTTACTGGATAGACTTGGACAGTAACTTTCTTTCAGCCTAATATATCTCAAATTGTTTATTTTCTCTAAGCACAAGGAGCACAGCCTATAAAGTACTAAATTGCTTCTAGCCAAGGTATATGCTTCTTTCCAGAAAGCTGGACTTGTACCGCTATTTATACTTTCAAGAATGATACACTAACACTTATTTCCTATTTATATTATCTTTGTGTCTCCCCACTATGACAACTGTGGGCAAGTAGATTTTATAAAGGAATCCCAAGAAAGAAATCTATTCCACAGGTTGAACTGCTCTTTGCCAGTGATGGTGACTAGGAGGAAATAAGAGAGTCCTTGCTGCATCTCTTCATATTCCAAGCCAGAACAGCCTGTTGCTTAACTCCTTCTTTTACCTTTTCTAAATAGGCCTGTCCAAAAACCTTATGGGTGGTGGTGGTTTGATTGGCTAGGGATTCCTTGGGACAAATGAATGAAACCTTGTAGACTGCCTTCAGCATATCAATGATTGTGAGAAAAGCAGGAAATTGTCCAATGTAGTGCCATTGGCCAAAGACTGGCTGGGAATGTTGGAGTATATTGCCCCAACACATCTGGAAGCCAACAGATGGGAAAGTTGTTCTATAGAACTTTAAGTATTAGAATAATAATGAACATGGATGCACGCTATATTTACTTTGCATATTGTTTGAGATACTATGTTACAAAAGTGGACAATGCTTCTATGGGTCTTTTCAGAGCTTTAAAGAAAATACATTAAATAATATAATACCTGCTCCTTCTATTATTCTGTTGCAATGACAAAGTGCTATCTGATGCCTTGTAGAATATAGTCATCCTCTATTATATTATGTTGACCTGAACACTAGCAGCTGTCTTCAGACAGTTTTCTGGGAAAAGTATTATAATTATACTAATTCTCTATATCAGGGTGGTGAGCTTCTGGTTCTCCAGATGTTACTGATTCTAAAACCTCTAGCAGTGCCAGCTAATATGGCCAATCAATGAGGAGTTATCATTGTCAGATTTTGTGATGATACGTGGGAAAGACCTTGGGAGACTTGACCAAGAGAAGCTGCCAAGGGAATGGTCAGGTAAGAGACAGTATAGACCATAGCTGGATATTGGGTGAGGCAACAGGCTCAGAAGAGACCCTCCCTAGTTTCTCAGGCTGTAAAGGAGACGGGGGAGGGGGGGAGAATTGTACTTTCAGACTTGCAAGGTTCTGTTAATGTAGCTTTATAATAAAGTAGAATTAGCTCCTCTGGTCGTGTTTCCTGTCTGGTCTACCTAGTAAGGCTGGCAGATTTACATCCTTATATTCTAGTCTTAATACAGTTGATTCAAAAAACAAAAGTCCAATTAATGGTATTTATTAAAAGAAATGTTAAGATTCCAACACAAGAATTACTGCAAGTACTCTAGTTTCAAATTAGAAATCTGTATGTAGGCAATCTAAGGCAGCAGAACTCTTGTCCATTTTATTCATGTTAACCAGGCAAACATTTAGCACTTATGTATCATCTGATTTTGTACATGATTACTTAAATACATATTCATAATACACTGCCCAGAGTCACATGCAAGTGAGATGGGCAGATATATAAATTCAGTAAATAAATAAATAAATAAATAAATAAATCTGTTTGTTCTAGGAAGAAAGAAACAAAATGCATTATATAGGAACTGCTCAAAGATACTTTAATAATATGGACATAATTTCTAGATTTTTTCAGTGCAGGTAACCCATGTTATATCCATATCACATATAGATCGTTTTGGCTTGGCAAGTAATTTGGAATGGATTGCAATTTGGTGCAAAATTCTTATTGACAGCAACATTGATTACAGCTAAGTGCTGTTTGCTTTAGTGGGCAATGTATCCAAGGTCTCATATAGAAGCTTTGCTGCCCCTACAATCTGATCTTTCCCTAATTGTAAAAACAGGAATCTGTTCTATCTGCATACAGAACATTTATACTGCTACTAAGCTGTGGAACTTCTTGTTACAATCTCAACTAATACAATAAGTTCTAAAGTGGTTTATATACTCAGAGGGGACTTCAAGACAGCTTAGTTGTGCAAGAAATAAATTAATGCTGAAGATCTCTGAATTATTTTTCTCCCCAAGTTGCTACTGCCTTCTCTAAGAGAGCCTCAGCAGGAGACAGCACACTTTTCTAGGTTCAAAAGATAAGCTAAATTTGGGGCAGGTTTGCCTGAAGCAAGGAGATTTCAAGATTTGGAAAGAGACAGACAGACAGACAGACGTAGGCCTAGTTAAGTAACTGGATAGGAGAATAGTGGGAATAGCAGAGCAATAAGCTAGACTGGCAGGTCGAAAGAATGGGAAGCCATTTCTGTGCTGTTGTCAGGGAATATACGTTGACTTGTCCATGAAGACCCAGAAGTCAAGTTTGCCTTGAAGGGGCCTTTATCTTTATTTTTTCACTCTTTTCTGCCTTATTACCAAAGGTCTGTTAGAAAGACAAGCATTCCATGAGACAGATGAAGACACCATCACTGATGTTGATTTGACCAATATGATTTCTGAAGAAGAGCGAGAAGAATTAAAAGTTGAAGTAGTCAAGGTAATTTTATTTGACCTTTATACATCACCTTAAACAAAATCATTTTGTTAGAATTGCTTTTACTATTTTGTTAGCATTGCTTTTACTATTTTTTCACTTGCTATTATTCTTGGTCATTTACTTGTGTGCAACTATTGGATTATAGTTACAAAGAGCCCTGGTTAAAAGAGATTATCTGGACCTTTTTGATCAAGATTCAGGTCTGGGTCTGGGACCAAAATTGCACTGGTTGCTCTTGTTGATAACCTTTGGTGGGACTAAGATGGAGGGAGTGTGATTATCCCAATCCTCTTAGACACTATTGACCATGATATCCTCCTCTAGATAGGCTATCAGAATTGGGAAGTGGGAGCCATTGTTCTTCATTTGGCTACTTGAGGATTCATTTATCCCCTGCTATTTACCATCTACATGAAGCTGCTGGGAGTGGTGATCCATCATCATGGGGTGAGGTATCATCAATACACTGATAATATCCAGTTATGTATCTGTACCCTGGGCTAGGCAGGAGATCCTGACTTGATCTCTTGAGGATGTTAGGATCTGGATAGGGATAAATAGACTTAGAGTGAATCCATTCAAGACAAGGCTGCGGATTTGGAAGCCAACCGTCTCCAGAGATAGCCTGTCCTTGATTTTGGATTAGGTAGTGCTTCCCCAGACAGACCTAACCTGCAATCTGGAGTCCTTCAGTAGGCATTGCTCCTCCTTACACAGTAAGTGGAGGTTGTGTGCAGGAGGGCTAATGCATAGTTACATATTGTGCACTAGATGTGGCCTTCTCTGGATCAGGAGGCTTTACTCATAGTCACTCACACTCTAGTCACATTGCATCTGGATTATTGTAATGCATTCTACATAAGACAGCCCCTGAAGACCATCCAGAAGCTTTAGTTTGTGCAAAATGCAGTGGCCTATGTAGTTATAGGTTCACTGAGATTCATCCATGTAATACCATTACTCTGGAAACTATGTTGGCTGCAATGCAGGTGCTGGTTGAAGTTCTATATGGCTCAAGAGCTGAATATCTCTGTCAAATTTGCCCATCCAGTAAGATCTGGGAGAGACAGCTTACTGAGGGTTTCACCATTGAGGGAATGCCATCTTCAGAGACCCTGAAGGCTCCCTCCTTTGAAAAGCTTACCTCCAGATATCCATACCACTCTTGCTTTGCTATATTTTTGTGGCTCTTCAGAATAGCATTTGGGGATGAATATCACCATGCTCCCCCCACGTGATGGCACATCAGATTGATCCATTGTTAATTGTATTAATTGATTTTCATTTTTAACCTTTCAGAGACTCCACAAATGGAGTGGCATATAAGTTGTGACAATAAATAGTAAATAAATAATTGCCTGGTAAGAGTAAATGGAGAAAGAAACTGTACCTTTTGTGCTTATATTACAGGTTAATCACTTTGTACAATTAGGGCTGTAAATTTACCACCAATATGCATGAAACAGTGCCCCAGAAGTCAAATGAAGTTCATTCTTCCCTGATAAAAGCAATTGTACAGGTGTCTGAGGAGCTGGGGTGTGTGTGTGCGAGAGAGACAAAACAAAAACCTGCCTCACAGCACAACGTATGTTAGTGATATACTTGCAACCAGTGTTGTGATGCAAGTATACAAGGTTGGAGTTTGCAGTATGACATCACAACACATGTTTCTTCATTTTTGCAGCATTGCTACTGGTGCCAATCTGTTCCTAGTTTAATAGTCACACAATGAGACACAAATAAATTACACTGTTGCTGAACTTTGGGGAGACCTGTCCAGACATGACAGATATGGGGTGTGGCAGCTTTGAGCAAGTTTCTGAGTCTTATCTTTTGCTACTTCATACAACTGTTATGCAGATGACACTGGGAAATCCTATATGTATCAACACTGATGCTAAATAAAGTAATAGCTGAACAGTACAGTGGCTTTACATATGTACAGAGGAGGGTGCTTAATAAAATGCAAAAATGCTCATGCATTTTTGGAGGGCTGAGACATGTTTTGAGTTGTGTACCAGGACACAATTAAAAAAGTGATCCAGGCAAGAATAAAGTTGTGGGTTGTTGTTGTTGTTGTTGTTGTTCAGTCGTTAAGTCGTGTCTGACTCTTTGTGACCCCATGAATCATATGAAAGTTGTGGGTGGGTCATGACAAATCTAACTTATTTATTATCATTACTTCATTATGCTTTTAATGTACCAATAACTGAAATTCTCTGGATAGATTATTGAAGGCTTAATTAAATATTAACTAAATGTGATTAATATTATTGTTCACATTAATATGCATTATTTTACTATTATGTCACATTTAAAAAATCACAATTCAGCATCTGTTTTGGATGGGCCACACCTACTGCTTTGAGGAACCAGGGTTATGCACTCCTGGTCACTTGCTGATTTATGTGCCTCTCTTAACAATTTATAAAATTTAGTGAAAATCAACTACAAAGAATTTTATGTTTAGCTCTATAAGTCTTTATTCCCCAGTCTTTCATTCTCACTGATGTGAGCTGAGGTTAAGGTCTTTATCCTCAAAGAACATGCCACGTTGTAGATTGTTTTGTAGTCTTTGCGATTATGGAATCTAGGTCAACTCTGATCGTACAACGACATTTACAACATTCAGACACCACACTGTTTCATTGTTTCAAAGAAATGCATTGGAGATTTGCCTTCAGAAATGCTTGAAACTTCTCCAAGTTTACCAGTTTTTTGAAGAGCTAATAAATTTTTGCTTGTTTAGATTAGCTGTGATGTTTCTGTTGAAAACTGTGGGCCTGCTTGTTCTCCATACTTTTGAAAATAGTCAGTAGTTGAAGGTATTTATTTTATAAACCTGACTACATTTTCCAGAGGTAGTAAACAAATACTGTAAATATTGTACTCATACCTGGTCCTCTTTCTCCCCACCAACTCTACCATATTATAACACTGGAAGCTAGGGCTACCAGATCTGGCTGCATAGATCAGATGACCACTGCATAGCACTCTAATGTGTTGCTCCAAGCCAGTGCTCATCTGGAGTTTTACAGGCCAGATCTGCTGGTCCTAAAGAACTCCTATCTTTAACAGCAAGTTTTGTTATAACCCTAAATTTCACATCCTATCCTTTGTCAGCCTGGATCTTTTTAAGACTCCTTCTTCTTCTTGTGCTAGCATATAATGCAGGAGCCATTTTTTTGTTGTTAATATAGACTGTCTCTCTTAAAGGGGAAGATAATTTCCCAACCATCTGATCAAGAAATATACACACGCAGATCCCTGTGTATGACAACCTGTAGTTCACCAGTACATGATTTCTGGATCTTTACAGAATCTTTACCCCATTTCTGGATCTTTACCTGACAGCTGTTATGGATGCTTCATGTTTATTTGTCAACTGCCTGATTTTCAAGTACTCCATCCATGTTTGTCCTTTATCTGTGTTTGCATATTAAGTCAATTATCACGGGAAGATTGGCCCAGCCCCTAGAAGATTCAGTTATCATGAAAAGTTGCCCAAAAGTTTTGAATTTGAAAAGTTTTAGATTTGAAACAGCTTGTTCCAACCTTACTGGAAGAGATACAATGCTACTTCACCCATTCCAGGAAGATTTTGAACTCAAAACCCATGTATTGAGCACGAAATGAAGCCATCTAATTTTGGAATGGCTGGAACAGCTGTGTAGCTCAAGACATTTCAAATTTTGCATAGCACTTAATATCTTTATGTAGATATTTTGATCTACAGTAGCAATGTATCTTGCTTTGTGATATTATATGGGATTAGCTGGTTTTTGGCATGCTTTTATCTATTTTTATGATGCAGGAAGTATTTTGAATGGAGCGCAGATTTTTTTTTTTATTATGAAACTCGTGGCCCTAAAAGTGAGTTTTTATTCAAAGCCATCATAACAGTGGAAGAGCACATACAATAATGACCTTTAATTTGCTGATAATTGTTTTTTTAAGCCTTTGAGATACAGAATCACCCAATGTTTTCAGCACATCTCATAGCTTTTGTCAGATTTCAGGGGGCACTGGACAGTATACCTTCTGGAGTTCCTATGACACCCACTGCCCTTTCTTACTCCACAGCCATCTCTCATTCTTCCTACCCACTCTACCGCTCTTTCCTTTTCCTGAGGCTCTGATAATTATGCTGGACTTGCTACAACTGACCAGGCATCAGGAAGCAGACCCTCTTTTCTTTATCATTTAATCTAATTAGACAATTCTGCAAAAAGCCTCAAAGACTCTTTGGAGACATGAAGATAACCTTGGCAGTAGTTGCTTTGCTGTTGGTGTGCACCCAACAGTCATGTTTAACTGTGATATCCTTCTTGCCTGCCCATAAGTCTGGGGATTAGAGGCCCTGTTTTACAGTGCTTCTACTTCTTCTTTAGTGGGCAATTTTGGTCAGTGGTTTTAGGAGAGATCAGCCCAGTGGTCACCCAACTATGGGATACTTTAGGGTTCAGTCTCTTCTCCCAGGATTTAATATCTACATTAACCCACTGGGAGATGTCATATGTTAGTTTGTGGTTTAATATCATCTGTATGCTGACTATCCCCAGGTTTACATCACTATGCCAGAGTGGACAGGAGATGCCATGGAAGTCTTATCCCAGTTTCTGGTGGGGGTATAACAGGCTAAAGTTTTAACCGAAGAAGGACAGAGTTTCTGTTTGTTCTTCAAGGTTCTCAGCCAGCTCCAGTGAAGTCTTTCAAGAGGGAAGCAGTACTCCCCTGGGGGTCTTTCTGAAGTTAGCTGCTGCTGGGAGGGGAGGTGGAGGCTGTGGCCAGGGGAATCTTTCCCCAGCTTCAGCTGGTGCACCAGTTGGAGCCCTAACTTGGAGCCCAGGGATCTTGTAACAGTAATTGTAACTCTCATCACTGCATGCATAAACTACAGCAGTATGGTGTACATGGGGCTGCCTTTGAAGATGATCCAGAAGCTACAAATTGTGGTGGCCTAATTATTGTCACCAGGAGCATATTAAGCTGGTGCCAGTAAGCTTCCAATTGCACTTCAAGCTATTGGTTTGACCTATAAAGCTCAATATTGTTTGGCATCAAGGTATTTTCAGAACTACCTTCTCCAACTAGAATCAGCCTGTCCAGTGCAAACCTCTTGGAAGAAACTCTGGTAATCCTATGTTTCCATGAAATGGGAGGTGGGACTAAGCCAGGACATTGTGCATTTCTGTCCTAACACCAACACTAAGTCCCTTTGGGGCTTAGATTACCCTCCAATTTGACAGCCTTCTGGAAAGCAGTAAAGGCTAGACTTTAGGAACTGAATGTCAGATTGTATTATTTTGTTTAAATTGTGGGCTATTGTGTAACTGTCACACAATTGTTTTACTAGGGTTATTAATTTAGAGTGAAAGTAGGATGTTAAGGTGTTTGTTATATTGTTACTGTAGATATCTTAGTGTATACAGTTTACTGTGAATGTTTTAATATTTTATATTTACTATGGATGGTGTATTGTTTTCTGCTGTATATATCATGGGTGTTATAATTGCTGTAAGCCACCATGAATCATAATGAAATTGGTGGCATAGAAATCTGATAAATAAATCAGTGATCAGCTATTCCTTTTTTCCTTAATAGTTTAGGGGTTCCTAAACTACCCTTGCACCCTAAAATCCAGCATAACATAAACATTGCTGAGATCTGCCATACAGTGATGCATAATTTTTAAATTATAATAAGCCATTTGATCCCATTCTTTCTACATGAACAGTCATATTCATAAATTTTGACATTCCTTAAGTGAATATAAAAGCAATGAAATATATATTCAGTAGGGATTCCATTTATTTGGCATTATTGTACTTAAGGAAAGTGGGCTTGAACAACGAGGAGTAATAATCCAAGTTTTTCCTTTGCTTTGTTCCTTATATGCAGCTAGAGGATGAAATCGCAACTTTACGCCAAGTGTTAGCAGCCAAAGAAAAGCACCTTGTGGAAATAAAGCAAAAGCTGGGCATCAATCTGATGAATGAGCTGAAGCAGAACTTCAGCAAAAGCTGGCATGATGTGCAAACTACTACTGCGTGAGTGCAAACTTCCTACATGTCTATTCTTTCACTCTGTGTATCACTCAGTATAACTTGCATGGGCAATCCAGAACTTGGAGTAGAACAGATTGGGCTTCAGTAGCTTGGTTTTCATCTCCCACTCCACCATGATGTTCATCGAGTAGCCTTTGTCTATCTCAGGGAGCACTTATGAAAATCAAAACAAAAGAGCTATGAAGTCTGCCAGCTTACACTCTTAGAAATAATTGTGGGATGCTTAGCATATGTGGGATATGCTTTGAATCATTTTTGGGATATGGAGGTTATTGCTTCACTGTCACCTGTCAGTGAAAACACATTGAAATTAATTTGTCCGGTGCATGATAGACTTTGGGATATAGGGCAACCTCCCTTCTATGATACCGAAACTGAAGGATATTGAAAAATAGGAACAAACTGGGCGATTTAGAATAAATATTGGTTATTAAACATACCTTGGACAAACTAACTCCATTTGACTTCCAAAGAGCGCATTATAGACAGATGGGCTTATCTGAGTCCAAGGATGTATATATTCTAAGGACAGCATCAGCAATTTAATGGATAGGAAATAAAGAAGAGAGCTTGGTTGCATCACTGAAGAGCTTTTTAATTCTTGCATTACCTCTCTGCAAAGAAGCTAGTTGTGTATACACTTTCGTAATGCATGACAGGCACCCAGTTGACAGACCAGCCTGTTTTTTCCATAAGTCTTCATTAATGACACTGACTCATTGACGTTTCTAGGTTCTAGAAGCTGCAGTTAAAGCATTTCCTTCTGCCCCTAACTTGTTCCAGGCCTTGGATCAGTTGCCTCAATATTCATAATATGAAAGAATTCATACACGTACAAACTTCTCCTTACAAAATATTTTCTTGCACCTTCATGGCAAATGTTAATATCCTACAAACGCTTACTTCAATACAACTGCTAAGGTTTAAATCTGGTATGCTCTAATCATCCATTTTCCATCCAGAAATATATGATTCTGATGATTACTTTGTTGCAATTTGACTTCCTTTATTTATTTCATAACTTCCCACTGGTGGATCACTTAAACAGATTCTAACATGTGCTATTCTCAGTACACTAACAAGTGTCAGGAGTTCCTTTTTAATATACTCACAGTAGATAGGATACAACCATATTAAGATATCCATTATGCCCAGTGCTAGATATTACTGCACATGGATAACAGTCACCACTACAAATATTGGACTGGCATTGGATTTCATCCACTCTCATCAATGGAAGCTTACTGCCCAGCCCAATCACAGGGTTGCTCTTGAGGAAAACAGGAAGAGGGAGTGCAGTGTATGTTGCCTTGAATTCTTGAGGGAAAGGCAGGATATGTACTGTATGTATGTATGTATGTATGAATGTTGTTGTCAAGATATGTATCACATGTGTAGCACTTCTGCTGTTAAAAGATACAGAGGCAGCTTATCAGGTCTCATTGCATGTGTTAGATCTTCAACATAACTTTGCTAACTTAACTAATCAGCATCACTGACAATGAGGGGAACAGCCAGGAAGTGAAAATTAGAATGAAGAAAGCTGTACCTTAAATTATAGTAATGACAGGCACCAAAACAGTAAAACAACCCCCTCTTAGGAGATGTTTGGAAACACTTGAGCACTGCTATGAAGAAAAGGTGGTGGCCTCCTCCTTGTCACAAGAGGGCAGTCCTTTGGTAACACAGTTTGTACAACTGTCGGCTTCCATAGCAGGCTGACATTGGTCACATGGTCCACATTTGCTGGAGCCCTGCTCTTTCTACATTTACAGGGGTTCCATGCATCAGTGAGATGGAAGTTCTGAATCCTGGACAAGAAGCCACAGTGGTGGTATACTTCATGAAGCATCTTTCTCAAAAATTCATGCCCCCTCTTCAGCTAATGAATTAGGTTGCTTGACCACCTTCTCACAACTCCCTTCTTTCCAGAGTTTTCAACTCAGGATGACAGAATGAATGGCTTATTTGCACGTTCTGAAGACATCATAGAAATATCTCTTAAGACTGAGAGTGGATTGACCAAAATTGGTTAGAAGGAAGCACAACTGTCTCATTCTCAAAGTTTATTATTGGAAATCCTTCTCCAAATGTTTTTACTTCTTTCAGATTGCTTTCTATGTTTGTGCCATTGACAGATAATCTGGGGTGCCCAATGACATAATCATGGAAGAATAAGGCAGCACAAACATGATGCCTTAGCAGGTTTTCTATATTATTATTTGTTAGTATTGTATCCCAGCTTTCTTCTAAGAATTCACAGTAGAGTTCATAGCACACTTCCATTTTTCCCCACGACAAACCCTGTAAGGTAGGTTGGAAATAATTATTGGCCTAATTATTGGTCACTAGGGGAGTTTTCACATATGAGAGTATCTTTGAGCCTGGGTCTCCTTTCTAACCCATTGGTCACTACACCACATTGGTTTTCATGTACTTGACTTGGTATATAATAATATAGAATATAAGATCTTCAGAAATAATCCACAGTACTTAGAACCTTTTCAGATGAACGGAACTTGCAGTGTGGCTAGATCACTTAGCAGGCTCACATTGGTTTGTAGTACTCCAAGAATTGTCTCAGATGACACCCTGAGAATCATTGCTATAGGTGACTCTTGAAGAATCCAGCAGATATATTCCTAGTATTGTAGTGGAATGGGGGGGGGAGAGGGGGAGTCAGACAGCAATATTTTTTATTTTTGATTTGTCCTCCTAAATTATTATAGTTGTCTTTAAGCTCTGCACTGAATAACAGAGACATAAAGTGTGCAATAAACAATCACTATTACCCAAAGAAATAAAACAGAGGCAGGATAGTAGTTGAGAAGGTAAATTCAGATAGAATCAGACAAAGTATCATATAATTACTTCAAATAAGGTTAAGCCAGAAAGACATATACTGAGTGTATGTCTGGGCCAGTGTTTCTCAACCTCAGCAACTTAAAGATGTGTAGACTTCAACTCCCAGAATTCCCCAGCCAGCCAAAAAAGTTGGGGAAACCTTGCTTAAGGAAAAGAGCACATTTTGGGAAAGGGCTATATCAAAATGACAGAAAGTTTAGGCTTTGTTGTGAAATTTGAATTGAAGACCCAAGAAAAATAGGTTTGCCTTGATTCTACAATAGATGGCACTGTTTCCTTTAATAATGCGCTTCTATTTATCTCACTTTATTCTTTTACTTCTCCACACTCCTAGAACACAGTTGTTTCCATTTTAAAACTATATATATATATATATATTAAATATATATATTTAAATATATATATATTTAAATTATAATTAGTGAACTGGGTTTTACTATGTTTGGTGAACCATCTGCATGTAAATCTAAATAGACTGGTCAGTATTTTTACACAAGTTGAAGTAATAATTGTGTCTGAGTATGAGCACATACCTCCAGAGAGCAGAAGGAGAAAGGTAAATTGTGAGATGTGAATGAGCATATTCAGCAAATACTGTAAGCTAAAAGCTGACTTGCTAGTTTCTAGATTTTAAAACAGTTTAGCAGCCTTACTGAAGAATGCAAGCATAGCAAGTTAAAGCATGTCCTATAAATCAGTCATGTGCAAATTTAAGAGGATTGTGTCTGAATAAACATGGCATGCATTGTGTGGCTGTTTTAGAAGAAAAAGCAAAATTCCTTTCAATATGAACCTGTTCAAGGAACTCTAGAATTAGTGGGATGTGACTGAAATAACTATCATTACTTCTTGTACTATATCCCAGCTTTTTTTGGAATACTGCTATTGTGGTTGACATTTTATTCTTGAAATGCTCAATGCAGTAATCTTGATTTTGAGAAACTAGCTTGCCCATAGCCATCAAATGAATTTCATAGACGAAATTCATGAAAATTAATTTCATGCAATGCACTCTACATGGGGCTACCCTTCAAGAGTATCTGGAAGCTACAGCTGGTTCAAAATGCAGCTGCGCAGGTAATTTTGGGTGCCCCCAGATGGCACATGTAACACCTTTGCTACAGGAGCTGCATTGGGTGCCAGTTTGCTTCCAGGTCCAATTCAAGGTGTTGGTTATTACCTTTAAAGCCGTACATGGCATGGGACCAGGCTACCTGAGGGACTGTTTCATCCCCTTTACATCGACTGGTCTCACCTGGTCAGGCAAAGAAGGTATGTTACAGACCCCATCTATGAAAGAATGTTGACTGGTGGGGCCCAGGAGAAGCGCCTTCTCTGCCATTGCCCCTGCCCTATGGGGCCCTAATCCTTCCAGAAAGGACTGAAGACCCGGCTCTGCCAACTTGTGTGGGGCATGAAGGGGGGTAACCAACTCTGGGGGTGCCTAGCACCCTGAAGATGCTCCTGTAGGTTAATAACCTTTATTTACCATCAGTGCCTTAGAAGACATTG